GTCCCATGTATTCCGGAACGCTTCCACACGTTTTTCTAAACGTCAGTCTGGACTGAAAATCTCGAGGATCAGATAAAACTAGGACCAGCAAAAACGGTTCCTCGTCAACGCTGCAAGGGGCACCAAAAATGTACGGGTACCTTTTAATATGATACCACAGGTATGGTTTCTTCTGTAGCTTTTCCTCACACACTGACGCTGGAACTAAACATGCACTTTCCTTTTTGGATGTGCAATTCTCGACCCTATCCTCCTTGATGATGGAAGTTACAAATAAAAGCAACAAAGTTGCTTTTATTGTGAAGAAGACAAACAGCAGTCTCTCTCGTTTCATTATTCTCCACTTGGTATTTTAATGCTCACCATTGCAGGCAAACCCTATGAATTTATACGGTCATTGTCCAAGCATTAAAAAAGCTTAGTGCAAATGTCAGGGCGTATAGCTGGAAGGTAGGCCTATATGCATAAGGGAAAACTATTGTGTATTTCATAGTCAAATTCAGGTTAGTAAGTAATATGAAAACCATCACCGGGTATGTGTAATATACACTCAAGGCAAAAAAGATATCCACACGTCCAATTTAATGAGTTTCTGTAGTTGTTTTGAAATACCACATCACAGTGGTAAACAGTTAAATCGTGCTTTAAAATATATTTATCAATGAAATAGAATATAACAGCCAACAATGAAAAAACAACAACAACAACAACAACAACAACAACAACAACAATAAATAACATGATTTAAGGTGCAGAAAAGCAAAATATTGGTTTCCTAACATATTAAAATGGTGTGCACTACAGTGTTTTCCATAAGGTTTAAATATATATAAAATTGGGAAAACACATCCATAGGTCACCTTATTTATAAACATTTGATGAACATCAGTGTGTGCTCTTCAAAAATCAATAGATACAGATAACGGATGCACATACTGTATAGGTGATTTTGAAATGTGTTAGAGGAGACACAGAGCATTCTGGTGTTTGTGCTGTCCCTCAGGTTGTTCGTGTTAAAATAAATAATTATTATAACCTTAATAAGCATAAAAAGAATAAAAAGAAGTGTGTGGTTCACATGCTGGAACAACCATACCTATAGAAGAAAGGGTGTTTTTACGCCCTCCTCGTAGAAAAAGTTTCGTGCCATTTTGGAACTTGACTGCAACATTTAATCAGAATAGGGCAAACCATATTTCTGAGTTTACCGTCAGATAACTTTGGCACAATCGCCGTTATTTTAATTGGTAGGATGGCTGTAGGAAACATAGGAACTGCCTACTTCGAGTCAGATGATATACCGATGTGACAGGAATGGAAGTCCTAGGAATGAAAGTCCGGGCTCCCATGTGCTTAGAAAAGGTTAGGGCCAGTCGGAGTATTGGGGTTTGTATATGGGACGAATGTCACCTGTACGTGTAAGTGATGGGGAACAGCTTTTTGTTCCTAGAGGCCCACCATTCTTGTTACACCGGGCTCGGACACCAAATAACAACTGGGCAATGAAACTATTCTCAAATGAAAGAAAGTTAAGCGTTGTGACAAGTGATGGACGCGCAAGGGCTTGGAGAACAGCTGGTAAGAGTTATATTCCCAATTTTCTGCCTCTGGTCGACAGGGCGCACGCAACATTCATGTCATGTATGTAGCGTATTGGCTACTGTGGTGTAGGCGAGCTGGCTGTGGTTAACAAGAACCTCAACAAAGACCATTGCATCCAATCCGCAGACCAGAACCTCATTCAGAAGGTGTGGGATAAGAATGTGTGGGATCCTCGAATATGGATAACTGAGGGATAACACTGCAATCAAAAACGATTTCATACCATCTTTCATTTGCACCGTTATATGGAAGGCCATCAGACCCCCAAACTTTTTGACTCACACATGGACGCGTCAGGTGGGCCTACAAAAATATTTAAATTTGGTTTTGATTTTTTTTGCTATGGTTACATAATTTATTGGATTTGCGAAGCGGGAGGCCTGCAGTCGATAAAAGCTGTGAAACGAGTTTTAAAACGGCGAATGGTAAAATGCGGTGCATTTGCAAGTTTCAAGAAGAGTCAGAATTGTGGCTGGAGCATTTAAGTTAGGTGTAGGTTGTATTATAGCTCGTGGAAAAATGGAGGGCATTGCGAAAATGCAGCTCTGAAAAAATCAAAAGATATGTCCCCAAATCGGGATACTCCCGATGAGTGTAGACAGGTCTGAGCTTATGTGGAATTTCTAGTGTGTAAAAATAGCCTGTAAGACTATATTGCACTTGTCACAAGTGTCTTACAATGAAATCGTGTACGTATATTGAAGAAGTTTTTGTCACGTTATCTGATATCTACTGTGGGCTTTGGAAGTGAGAGTAATAATTCATAACCCTTATTTGTGATGGTACGCCAAGCAGATATTGTCTTTCAAAATAGCGGCTGAGGTATAATTTGAACGTGGACTATCGTAGAGATCATGACAAATAAGAGGATATCTTTCGTTTTTTTCACTGCCAGTGCAGCTCTGCTCATTCTGATGGTAACTTTTACCACTATCGTAAACAAGAAAAGGCGTCACACATCCAAAGAGGAAAAGCAACCCGATTGTTTAGTTCCAGCGTCAGTGTGTGAGGAAAAGATACAGAAGAAACCATACCTGTGGTATCATATCAAAAGGTATCCTTACATTTTTGGTGCTCCTTGTAGCGTGGACAAGGGACCGTTTCTACTTGTCCTAGTGATATCTGATCCTCGAGATTTCCTGTCCAGACTGACTTTTAGAAAAACCTGTGGAAATATTTCGAAATATTCGGAACAATCAATTAAAACCGTCTTCTTTGTAGGAAACTCGAGACAAACACACGTGGAGGAAAAAATCGTAAATGAAAACCACCAGTTTGGGGATCTTATTAAAGTTGATTTTGTTGAATCGTACAAAAATTACACATTGAAAGCTATTCTCGCTCTTCGCTGGGTAGAAGAGTACTGTCCTAGGACGCGTTTTGTCCTAAAATGTGGACATGACGTCTCAGTTAACTACAAAGGCGTCATACGGTTTCTGACAAGACGTCAGACAGAAAAATCTGGCGATCTATTTGTTGGTTTTAAATATGTAAATGCGTCTGTGCATCGCAATCCACGCGATAAATACTTCCAGTCCCGGGAGGAGATCAGTGACAGCAAATACCCACCTTATGTGTCTGGATTCGCATCTATACTTTCTTACGACGTCATCAAACGTTTTCACGCAGCGTCGTTATGGAAACACCTTTACATGGAAGACGTCTTTTTATCTGTCCTGGCGCATGAAAATCACATAAGTCTTGAACATAATTCTGGCTTTGTGAATGAACCTGGTCGTCTTAATTTCAGTGACCTGTGCCGTGTGCGAAATATGTTGGCAATTCACAAAACACCTCATGCAGAGATTTGTGACCTTTATAAAGACGAAGATACAGTCTGCTAACATTAAAATACTGTGATGGATCCGCCACTTTGCTTATTTACAGTGGCCGAGTTTAAAAAACTTAAAACTATGATATGTTCACCTGGGAAACTGTATAGGTTATCTTCTTTGAAGGTCTGTCAAAATATTCATGTGTTGGATGACACTGGTGGTGCATTCATTCCTGTGAAAGGGGAGGAATTTGTCTTATTATGACAAACAATTCTGTGTTTCCAAACATTGCTGTGAATTTAAAACTTGTCGATACATCGAAACCTGAACCATGAGCGTTTATAACATCGATGAAAAAAATTGTGGGGGGGGGGGGGGGGGGTAGAAACCATCGGTTTAATTTCCAAAAAGATAATGCTACACACCACAGGTCTGGGGTGCAGAAAGTGGTCTAACCTACATGAAATCAACAGGGTGAACTGGCCTGTCCATTCACCAATCAGAAAACCCCATCGAAAACCTGTAGAATGAGATTCCAAATCAATTGGCAAAGATCGCCCGTTTACAAAAAATGGTCTTATCCAAAGTATCTTTAGAGCCTGGGTCACCTAGCCTCTAAAATTTAACTGAAGCTTTAGAAGTCAGCATTGGCCATATTGAGATCACGTGTCTATCCTACAATAGGTTAATACTAACATGATGACATGCGTTTCGTAAAGGTAAAGTACTGATCTGTAAACCTGTAGTTAAGGCGATTACTTGACATGACCATTTTCAATAAAATTCCAATTGAAAAACCATAATCTGTTGTTCACCTTTGAGCAAAATGTTGTCACCCCACTGTACATTTCAATAGAGCCAATAGCCATGAAATGGGCTCAAAAGGGGGGGGGGGGCAGGCATGCTTGCGAGGTTTCTTTCTGTAAATGTTCTTTCCAGAGATCACACTCTTTCTTCATCCTCGGCCTTCAGTAGCAATACATATATAGAAAAGTCAATGGCATGGCCCCTTAAGGACGGCCTGCAAGTTATCAGGTACTCACATGTAGAGGCGAGGTTGTGTCAATATTGATAGCCCAAGATTCCTGCGCAATGCTTTCAAGCAGGCAGCAAAATAACGGGGAATGTTACTCAAGGTTCATATGTCGCATGAAGAATTAATATATATGTATAGCAACTCGCTAAAAAATTAAAAGCACTACTAGCTAGTCAGAGAAGAATTTAATCAGCTGTGTTAAGTTATAAGAATGATGTGAATTTTTCTTCAGTCAACAGCTAATACTGAGATAGGTTTTACCTCCAATATTTCGATGTCTATCAGGACATCTTCTTCAGGGAAGAAATCAAGGAAGAAGATGTTCTGATAAACATCGAAATATTTGAGGTAAAACCTATCTCAGTATTAGCTGTTGACTGAAGAAAAAAATCACAACTACTAGCCAGTGTTGTGCAGTGTAGTGCAGTATAGTGTAGGGTAGTGTAGCGCCACACGGTGTATAATGTGCATCAAATTTATTTATAGTTTAGCAAACACTGCTGACCCACAATTCAGTGCGGTAAAATGTTCAATCTATAACGGCATTTGCAACTAGATGTAGCGCCTCCTTGTGGCGGTATCTGGTGGAGAAGGTTATATTATGGTACCAGTATGTTATGGTGAGGACATAGGCTATTCGTCTGGCAGCGTAGATCACCTGAAAGGAACATTAGATAGTCAGCATAGTGTGCATGTAAAAACGATAGCAAATTCAAAACCAGGTGTAACATATATTCTGCTCTGCGTAACAAAAAAAGCATTAGTACCAGCATCGTCGTCATTTCGAGAAAAATGTCTGCTTGGTTTGATTCCGATTTCAACCTCGGCGGTTCCTTCAGACTAGGATCAGCATACAGTGTGTGCAGTAAACCTCGCAGTCACTCTGTAGACAGCTTTGACAGTGATTGTTCCCCACAAAGTGCCGTGCGTTACCTGCATCCTCCAGTGCAGCAAACAAACAGTGAAGGTCAGCAACCTCAACATAGCAAAGATACGGAGAATATAGAATGTGAGGCCGGCAACGGGGAAGAGACTGTAAATTATGCAAAAAATTCCGAGGACATAGACAGAGGGTGGGCTTGGGCTGTACTGGTAGCATCCTTCTTCTCAAGCTGTGTTAACATAGGCATCAACAATTCCGTCGGAGTATACAACGCGGAATACTTGATTCAGTTTCCCGAGGAAAATCGAGGCATTGTGTCGCTAGCCGGCAGCTTGCAGAACTCGCTTTGTGGCCTGACAGGTCTGGTGAGCGGCATTATCATCAGCAAGTACAGCTGCAGGACAAGTATTCTTTTGGGCGCCTTGATTTCAGCGCTCGGCTTTATTGGTACCGCTTTCTCTACAAATGTCCCGCAGGTTATAGCAACATTTGGATTTGTAGTCGGTAATACAGTTATGTGTAAATAAATGTAAATATTTGTGTGTGTATCTGTCTGTCTGTCACTTTGTTTATCGGCCCAGTCTATCGATCCGTCTGGCAGCTTACACGGCGGCTTGTACCTTCATCCCTCCATGCAATTAATCATCATTATTCAATGATTTTTGCTTATTTTTTCCATCGGAATATAATGTAAGGGACAATTCCTAGACTCTATCGATTTAACTGTGGTTCTATCTATCTCCAAGGGGGGTTCTCGCTTAATTGCAATTAACGTAAGCAGCTTAAATGACTGGCGCGGCTACTGAAGCTGTTAGTGGGTAGTTAACAATCGTTTAGCAGCTTCAGTAGGCGTGCCAGACATCAAAGCCGCTTAGGCTGAGAGCAATTTAGTGAGAAACCCCTTGGAGATGGATCGATCCTGTTAGATCGATCTAGGTATGGGAATACAGTCTTATACGCAACAAGCGTTGGTCCTTTGTTACATTTTTTTGTGGCGGTATCTGTCGGAGAGGGTTGTGTCATGGTACCAGTATGTTATGGTGTGGTCACTGTTCTATTTTGTCATTGACCCCATACATTAAACTGGTCCATGTGATGGATTATTCTGTCGTCTGCCAGCAGTGGACACCTGAAATGCACATCAGTTATTCAGCATAGTGTGCACATGAAAGCAAGTCAGCCAGCAATACCAATATCATCACGTCTAAAATAGGCCTATGTCTGCATTCTTCGATTCTGATTCCGACCTCGGTGGTTTCTTCAGTCTAGGATCAGCATACAGTGTGTACAGTAAACCTCGCAGTAACTCTGTAGACAGCTTTAATAGTGGTTGTTCCCCACACAACGCCGTGCGTTATCTGCATCCTCCAGTGCAGCAAACAAACAGCGAAGGTCAGCAACCTCAACATAGCAAGAATACGGAGAATATAGAATGTGAGGCCGGCAACGGGGAAGAGACTGTAAATTATGCAAAAAATTCCGAGGACATAGACAGAGGGTGGGCTTGGGCTGTACTGGTAGCATCCTTCTTCTCAAGCTGTGTTAACATAGGCATCAACAACTCCGTCGGAGTATACAACGCGGAATTCTTGATTCAGTTCCCCGAGCAAAATCGAGGCATTGTGTCGCTAGCCGGCAGCTTGCAGAACTCGCTTTGTGGCCTGACAGGTCTGGTGAGCGGTATTATCATCAGCAAGTGCAGCTGCAGGACAAGTATTCTTTTGGGCGCCTTCATTTCGGCGCTCGGCTTTATTGGAACCGCTTTTTCTACAAATGTCCCTCAGATTATCGCAACATTTGGGTTTGTAGTAGGTATTGGAGATTTGTGTAAATAAATGTAAATATTTGTGTGTGTATCTGTCTGTCTGTCACTTTGTTTATCGGCCCAGTCTATCGGACCGTCTGGCAGCTTACACGGCGGCTTGTACCTTCATCCCTCCATGCAATTAATCATCATTATTCAATGATTTTTGCTTGCTTTTTCCATCGGAAATGTAAGGGACAATTCCTAGACTCTATCGATTTAACTGTGGTTCTATCTATCTCCAAGGGGGGTTCTCGCTTAATTGCAATTAACGTAAGCAGCTTAAATGACTGGCGCGGCTACTGAAGCTGTTAGTGGGTAGTTAACAATCGTTTAGCAGCTTCAGTAGGCGTGCCAGACATCAAAGCCGCTTAGGCTGAGAGCAATTTAGTGAGAAACCCCTTGTAGATGGATCGATCCTGTTAGATCGATCTAGGTATGGGAATACAGTCTTATACGCAACAAGCGTTGGTCCTTTGTTACATTTTTTTTGTGGCGGTATCTGTCGGAGGGGGTTGTGTCATGGTACCAGTATGTTATGATGTGGTCATTGTTCTATTTTGTCACTGACCCCATATATTAAACTGGTCCATGTGATGGATTATGCTGACGTCTGCCAGCAGTGGACACCTGAAATGCACATCAGCTTTTCAGCATAGTGCGCACGTAAAAACAAGTCAGCCAGAAATACCAATTTCATCACGTCTAGAAAATGTCTGCTTTGTTCGATTCCGATTTCAACCTCAGCGGTTTCTTCAGTCTAGGATCAGCATACAGTGTGTACAGTAAACCTCGCAGTAACTCTGTAGACAGCTTTGACAGTGGTTGTTCCCCACACAACGCCGTGCGTTATCTGCATCCTCCAGTGCAGCAAACAAACAGCGAAGGTCAGCAACCTCAACATAGCAAAGATACGGAGAACATAGAATGTGAGGCCGGCAACGGGGAAGAGACTGTAAATTATGCAAAAAATTCCGAGGACATAGACAGAGGGTGGGCTTGGGCTGTACTGGTAGCATCCTTCTTCTCAAGCTGTGTTAACATAGGCATCAACAATTCCGTCGGAGTATACAACGCGGAATTCTTGATTCAGTTTCCCGAGGAAAATCGAGGCATTGTGTCGCTAGCCGGCAGCTTGCAGAACTCGCTTTGTGGCCTGACAGGTCTGGTGAGCGGCATTATCATCAGCAAGTACAGCTGCAGGACAAGTATTCTTTTGGGCGCCTTGATTTCAGCGCTTGGCTTTATTGGTACAGCTTTTTCTACAAACGTCCCGCAGGTTATTGCAACATTTGGATTTGTAGTTGGTAATACAGTTATGTGTAAATAAATGTAAATGTTTGTGTGTGTGTGTGTGTGTGTGTGTGTGTGTGTGTCTGTCACTTTGTTTATCGACTTAGAGTCTATCAGACTGTCTTGCAGCTACAAACGGCGGTTTCTACCTTCACCCCTCCATGCAATTAATCATTATAACCTACTCCGCCAAGGAGGTTATGTTTTCACCCCTGTTTGTCTGTCTGTCTGTCTGTCTGTCTGTCTGTCTCTCTGTCTGTCTGTGATCAACATAACTCAAAAAGTTATGGACCGATTTTAATGAAATTTTCAGGAACTGTCAGATGTGGGCCAAGGAAAAGATGATTAGTTTTTGGTGGTGATCCAGATCAATAAACAATCAATAATCAAAAATATCGAACATTTAGGGGTGAAACAGCATTGAATGGAGAATTTGCTGCCTTGGTGGAGGTCTGCGCTCTCTGAGTGCTTTTCTAGTTATTCAATAATATTTTGCTACCTTTTTCATCCGAAATATTCACCTTCTTTGCAGGGTGTGGTACCGGCCTCGTTTACACGGCTACGACAGTGTGCGTTGGTCAATATTTCCACAAGAGAAGGCCCATGGCTCTTGGTATTACTACAGCAGGAATGGCCCTGGGTCAAATTGTTTGTCCACCTCTGTTCCAATTCCTGATAGACACATACACGTGGAGAGGTTCTGCTTTCATGGTCGCCGGTCTGTGTCTGAATAACTGCGTTTTTGGTACAATCATGAAACCGCCTACGGGACTTTACAATACGGATCGTGAAGCAGATGGTTCCAGAAGTACCCATGTTAGAGACCCAAGAGAAACTAAGTGCATCACAAATAATGGTTCCGGTCATTTAAAAAAAGAAAGTTACCAGATACATACAGACGTAACCAAAATAGACGACGGATTACAAAAAGATATGCCAAACGAAGTCATAGCGGAGAATTCAAATACTCATTGCTACGATGACGGTTCCAAGCATACAGACCTGCCAGCTCGTCTGGTGAATGGAAACAAGCACAGCACGCTCGGGTCGTCTGCGTTTCTCAGCTTGTCGTCTGCAGCTTTCAGTAGCATGGCGTCAAACCTCTCCCAACTTTTTGCTTCAAACAATCACATCGTTGTTGCAGAAGACAGGACCAATTTTGGTTGCATGGCATATGTAAGGGGTCTCTTAGACATTCGCCCATTAAAGAGTGCAGCGTTCATTTCCTTCAGCATTTCGGTGTTCTTCTTTGCCGCAGCTTACGTCACATGCGGGGTTCACCTTATCGCCTACACGGTACAGCATGGAACCTCCCCTCTGCAAGCGGCAATATTGCTATCAGTCTACGGCGCGGGAAATTTGTTCAGTCGTCTACTTGCCGGGGCAGCTACCAACGACAAAGAGCACGTGGACCAGGTTACTTTGGGCGCCGGTGTTATGGGGATCTCGGCGTTGCTGTCTTTCTGCTTACCGTTGTTCATACACAGTTACTGGTCTCAGGTTTTGTTTGCCGCACTCTACGGAAATTATTCAACTGTCATATTACCACTGTTCACTACCATTACAGTTGAGACGGTGGGATTGTCTTCTTTGGGAGCTGGGTTTGGATATTTGATGGTGTTGAATGGTATCGGCTGTGCGGTTGGTCCGCCAATAGCAGGTAATATGCTGGGTAAAAATATACTGTAACTGTACTTCTTTCCGTTCTTTTTTTCATTTTAAATGTGAGGATATAGCTTAATCCAAAAGGAAGACCGTTATATTCAATCAGTTTGGAAATGAAAATCACCCTTTTACGTTCTACACAACACTTAGCGATTGTTGAAGCAAGTTTCTCTTAGGTCCAAACCCTAGACTTTCTAACGTATGGGCCCTTCTTAAGTGACACTTTTGACTGGCGATATAATTATATGGCCCATCAAACTGTCTTAGAATGCCCCTATATCTTTTTTTTTTGTATTTCATAAAGGGCTTTTGATATTCTATTTTTCATTTTTATGTATCATGTTTATTTTAATTTCATAATATCAATTCTGATCTCTATCTATTAATAAATGTTTTTCCACTGCAGGTTATCTGTACGATCTTACAAACGATTACTCGTATTCGTTTTACTTTGCAGGTAAGTTCAAACTTTAGTCGATAGCACATCGAATCCTATGAAAATTGAATAATTCTGCATACTTAATGCCAGCTTTGAATTAAGCGGTCTCCATTTTAAAGTCTTAATTGCGGTTTTTCGTGTCTGTCAATATACCCCTGTTAGCTCATATGAAAGCGTAATAATTTTTTCTTGTAATATGTACCTATAACCCTTTTCGCTTGATTTTTTGTTGCTTCCAATATATACACGGGATTATTATCCCAAACGGTATATTTGGCATTGATATTTCAGGTGTATTGTATATGGGCGGTTCTCTCATGATACTGGCCATTCCAGTGTTGCATTGATATTTCAGGTGTATTGTATATGGGCGGTTCTCTCATGATACTGGCCATTCCAGTGTTGCAAAGCAGGCGACTGGCAAAAGAAAAGGAACATGACATCACCTAAAGCTACCAAAGGCCTAAGAATAATCTTTTCGGAGATTATAATCCGCTCTAGTTCGCCCGGCGATGATGGTTAAAGTGCTTTCAAGAATGGATTTTCCTCAATTAATGTATTGAACTATTGCGGTAAATGGGTTCAATTAGTTAAAGAAAACGTAACCTAAAGCTAAACATTGATCTAAGCAATGAGTCAACAACATTTGTCTTACTTAAGGTCTATAGAAACCCACAGCAGTCCACACAAATAAAGTGTTTGTTTGAAACATTTATTAATTTATTTACTAAACTTTATTTATTAAGGGTAAAAACAAAAATGATAAATTAAAAGATTATCATACTCATGCCCCTCATTAGCATTGCGATGTCTTTCTTGATATAGAACGGAAAGTATGTTTCATTAAATTGGACTAATACTTCATTCATCAGGATTAAAAGAAAGGTAACATTTTGGTGTTAAAATTCAGAGCAATTCTTCTGTGCAATGCAAACCTGGACCGGGCCTCGTTTGCAGACGAATATATAAACCGTCATATACAGACTTGACATTAAATATCGAATGTTTTTTTTCCAAATCACTTTTATCAGCTTTTTTCCTATCTTGCCCTCTGATAAACGAAGATAAGGATTTACATCGTATTTTAACATCTTTTAATAATCTTTTTTGATGCCATTGTAATATTGGTGGCCGCATCTTTACTCGACCCAGTGTAAACTTTGGAGTACTTACACTATATTGAATGCCAAAACCTCGATGTGCTAAGACCACATTTACTGGAAAAATCTTATTTAGAAAACTCACCTTTCTGTGATTATTTGGTTTCTCGCTCTACCGCCACGTCCATTAAAAATATCATTAAAATGTCACGTAAAACTACAAGCCTTGTGTTTTATTTGGTCAAAGGCAATGCTAGTCCTTTAGCTTATTTTCATTTACAAGCATTCAAATTTGTAGAAAAAATGTTTCATTTGTCATTTCACAAGAATCACAAACTACCATAATGGCAGTAAACATTTTTCTTCTCAAGAAAGGCAGAGTTTTGTTTTAAGTTCTAATGTTATTTAAACCTGGTGTCTTTACTCTCTCTCTCTCTCTCTCTCTCTCTCTCTCTATATATATATATATATATATATATATATAAATTGACCATAGACTACTAGAGCCCATCTACAACATCTGCTGCGATCCACAAAATACTTAAGAAAATAAACATAAGAGCCAATATATTCATGTATGTTTATTACTAATTACATGTTCAATAACGGGTGGTACAGTTTAACAGAGATCATATATTTTTGTCCTGACTACTAAACTAAACTACCACTAGATTTTGAAAACTTTTCTGCAACACCTGCTGTTGAATTTAAATTTAATAATAATAATAATAATAATAATACCTTCGGCTACTACGCAAATGTTCCGTTGATGCTACTAGCATTTTGTGTAAATTGTTACTGGAATTTCAAAAAATTTTTTTATGGTTTGCCTGTTACTGAAACTTTATGTAAATAAAAGTCGTTATGATTAAACTCTTATGGTCTTGGAAATTACAAAGTGAAATAGATTATATATCATCGCCCCCCCCCCCCCCTCCAAGGGGCAGCCTGATCAGATTCAGCATACCTAGTCGAGGCAACCCTGTCCCCATTCTAGTTCTACCTGTTCCGTACATCAACCCGTTTCAGGGACTAAGACCCCATTTCCATAGATTTTAGATCGATCTATCCCTGTGGGGAGTCTCACTAGATTACTGTCAGGTTAGCCGGCTTAAGCGTCTGTCCCGCCTACTGAAAGCTGTAAGGGGGTAATTAACTATGGTGCGCGCTCGGCTGACTGCAATTTAGCTTGAACCACCAGGGAGTTAGGTCGATCTAAATCTTAATCCCTGGATCGATCTAAATCTCTGGGAATACACTCTAAGAAAAAAAATCCTGGTTGCAAAATGAGTTGCAGTTGCAAAATGTATTTTCACGATTTTCTTTGGTTGCAAAAGGCGTTGCAGTTGCAAAATGCTTTCGGTTGAACAATGCAGCTCTACGCTTCCACATTTTGTAAATTGTATCACACTTCATTCGAGGGAGACGTTTTTAATATTGGGACCTAGATGTAAAACTTGAAACCTTCCAGCAACACGCACTGTAAATATGTAGTCATTAAAAACAAACAATGAAAAATCTGAATTTGCTCTTTTTCACTCTAAGATAAAAATCGGATTTTATATTATTGTGAGAATAAACATCCACTCTCTGTCTTAACTTAAAAAATATTTTATATTTTTAGTTATTCATTGGAATCGTCACTCTCAATGTATAAAAACAAGAACAACTATAAATCTTCTTGTTGGCAACCATAACCCCCCCCCCCCC